AAAACCCTATACGCTCACCAGGTTCCCAAGCCTGACCCACTCAGTTTTCTTTGCATTATAGGCAATGACACAAGGGTATAAGTTGGTGGACTTGACGAGAGATTTTGGATTATAGATCAGTAGTTATAAATAATTGTTATAAGGTCTATTTTATATTGTTTATGCTTTTGGTCTGTATCGGCACATGACATCCCGAGGTTTTATTATTTAATGAAAATACATTCTCTTGAGAAACGTTTTGATAAATTTTATCATATTTTGTTTTGGAAACAAATTTCACAACTCTTTTAATCAAAGGATTACTCTGATTTTATAAAACAAAGCATAAACAAATCGGTCTTTTCTGACCGTGAAATTGGGGATGTCACATAGATCTTAGTACCTTTGAGGTCCATTAACCATAAAAATGCAATCTGTATGAGTTATAATTGTCTATGCATGTGTTAGGATCATCAATATGGTTCTTTTTGAGTTTTGGGTCCCATTAAATCATGCATGGGAGTAAAGTTGCCAACTTTACATGTTAAGTTACCATTTGGGATCAGATATGAGAGTTTGGCTTAGTGACTTAACCGATTAAGTGCTTAATGGTGAAGTTTGGTCAATTGCATCGTACGTTGGGCGTACCCAACTAGTACGCTGCGCATACTGGCCACCAAGGTAGAACGTGGGGCGTAAGACTGAGTACATCGGGCGCACTCAACAACCTTGACTTTCGGTTGATTTTCTTGGTTTGGGCCATATTTTGGACTTTTAGGGTTTGAACCTTGATGGGCCATTAGCCTTCTGACTTTGGGTCATTGCTAGACTGTGGGCCTTCTTGGATTAGACCTATGATGTGTTTTGGGCCCATTTAGTAATTTAGGCCATATTGTGCTTTGGGATGCCATTTAGGAATTTAGGTTTTTGAGCAAATGGGCTGGGCCTTGGTTTTTAGGCCAAGTAAGAAAAAGGTAAAATAGTATTTTACCCTGGATGTTGGACAAGTAATCTAGATTATTGATTATGTGTTAAGACCTAATTATTAATTGGATATTACCTGATGATGTTAGCGCAGGGATTTTTCGAATCAACAAACTGAGATTTTATCTAAGAGATTCAACAAGTTAAAGTAAGTGTCCTCACTATACTTGGCGGGTCGAAGGCACCAATGTCGGGACATGGTTTATTATGATTAGGATGCTAGTTGTCTGTGTGACTTTGCATGTATGATATTTGTTATGCATAACGGGCGGGGCCCGATGCCAGGTGGGGCCTGATGACTCTCTTGTATGTTATTTATCTTTGTGATTCTTGCATGTGTTTATGTGTTTGTATGTATACTGGGCAGAGCCCATTATTTACTGACAGATTGTTCCGAGCAGGGCTCGATGTCGGGCGGGGTCCGATGACTGGTGGGGCCCATTATATGTTTGATATATGGTATTTTGGAGAACTCACTAAGTTTTCTGCTTACGATTTTCATTTTATGTTTAAGTTACTTCCGGATCCAATAGGAAGAGCTCAGGGTGATCGTATCGCACACACCATGATGTTCCGTATTTTACTTTACTCTGATGTATTTGGATGTTTGATCATACTCGATTTTATTATGGTTTATGGATATGTTTCGAATGATGTTTTTTGTATAATTGAAAAAAATGAAATTTTTGGGACGTTATAGCAGGATCGACTCAACCTAACCACAAGATGTCGACATAAGCAAACAATAATCAATAACCAGCAAGTACAGGAAACAATGCAAATTTATCAATCTAACAGATCACTACTATATAGCAGCATCCTATACACAAGGATAAGTAAACACAATCTAGTGGGCCGACATTAGTGCCTTCGACCCACGAGTACAACGAGGAAAACTCACCTCAAAGTCTAAAAGATAGTTGAATCGATCACTGGTCCAAATACCCGACTCTATATGGCACTTATACAACATACATGGACCAAGCCTCAATCTATAACTTAAAATACTCCAATTATCCTAAAGTCAAACTTGGTCAAAGTCAACAGTTAATGATATAAAAGTCAATGGTTAACTTCAGCCTAATTACCACATGAGTACATGACTCTACGCCACGCGTAGAGTACAAGGTGACTTTTACGAGACAAAATGGGGCTATGCGTTGCGTAGCCAAAACTACGTCAAGTGTAGCACACTATTGCTCACTTTTCTCATTAAGTTCTTAATACATAAGGTTAAACCACCAAACTTCCAGATCTAAACTAAATGGACGTCTTAATGGATAAATTCTCTGACTTTATCTATTTGCATGCTTACCAAGGGCACAAAATCATAACCTATGTCCAAAAAGTCACCCAAAGCTCCATAACTCATACATGCTCGAATGAGAGTGACCAAGCTCCCATTTTTATGACTTATAAAACCTAAAAACGTATGGAAATGACACTCTAATGGTTTGGAGTAGCTCATACTCACATACACCATGGTTATGGGTACAAAAGCTTGAAACCTAAATTAAAGCTAGCTCTAGTACAAGAACACACCAAGGTGGGAATTTTATACCTCCTAGAGATTGTTGAGGAAATGAAACTTTTGGATCTAAGCTGATTTGAGCTTCCAAGTGATTCCACAACCTTCTCCTTCTTAAAAAAAATGAACACCAAACACTCTTAAGGCTTAAAAACACACCAATGGGAATTAAGGTTTCCAAGGGACCGTTTGGGAGGATGGAGATTGAGGATGGAAGCGCCTCAAGGGAGTTAGAGCCTTTAATTAGGGCTCAAACCCCCAAGATTAGGGTTATGGTTATGGGCAGCTACGCGCTGCGTAACATGCTCTACGCCCCACATAAATCATTTAATCCCCGATAAATGATTCTTTCATATCCGTTGCGTAGGAGGTTACCCTCTGCCTCGGACCCACGTAGGACCCATCTTCACAAATAATAAATCTTTTAAATAAGGAAAGAAATTTACCTGAAATAACTGAGTGTTACAATTTAGGCGTTCTTTATATATACGCTCTCAGAATTACGATTACTACGACTTCCATTTAGATCACTTAGGTTAATAAGCAACCTATCTCCGATTCATATTTTACGACGCACTTTGTTGTATAGAACTGAACGCGAAACTTTGAAACATCATAACTTCTTCATACAAACTGTGATTTGGGCATTCTTTATATTGAGAATCATCATTGCGGTTTCTACAACAATCATCTTTTATTTTTAGACTTTTATTTAATGTATTTTTTAAATTCTATAATAATGTTTTATACAAATATTATAAGCCCACAATATATGCTCATAAAATATGTGTACAATATATAACTATTATTTATATAACTCACATCACATATGAATAGTTTTTAATTATTTATGATTATCCTATTCGAGAATTTTATTATTTGATAAAACGAATATTTATAATTTATAATCCTTGAAATGTGTAGCCCAAATTCGCAAGCGTTACACAACTACTATTTTAACTATGATAATAACAACTTCGATTTCACCTTTCTTGCAAGTTGAATCGGAGAAAACCTCATCGTAATGTGCCTCTCCGTGGGTATCTGGTAACCATGTATATAGGGGTAGAATCAGTAATTTGATAGCAAAAGCAATAAAAAATCCAATATAGAATATTATTTCCAAAACCACAAGTTACGATTGATTCACTGATGTTTCAAAATTTAATGTTGGTTCATTAGAACCATAATGATTTTTGTTTAAAAGAAGTGATTCATAGTAAACGTAGATTAATCAATTTGTAAAGGATCTTCTCTGAGAAGATGGGCATCAATAGAAGCAATGTCTCCTAATCTGATACCGATGATATTTTCGGGCACGTTCTTTGATGAGAGAGACCATTTTTATATTAAACAATAATAAAAACTTTAAAAAATAAAAATAAAAAAATAAAAAATAAATACACAAAGAGTACTACAAATTTAAATTTTCTAAGGGACCAAATACACAACAAAACTAATTTAAAACGAGCACAAATCCAAAAAAAATTGGAGTTTAGACAAAAAAAAAAAAAAAAAAAAGCACTTACCACATAGCTTGTTGTTACAGTTTTGTCTAACAAATTAATAAAAAAAATATCAGCATGCATTTTACCCGATTTTACCAAGCTTAACAAAGTTAAATCAACGTCAGATACAAAAAAATAAATAAATAAAAATCAAATCCTTAACAATTTTTGATGTTTGAAACTTTTTTTGTAAAAAAATGAAAACCACAATTTTCTCTAAAATAATAAAATAAAATAAAAAATACTGACTTTATTTTTTTATTTGAAAGCCGGAATCTGTGAGTTGGGACCTGGGGTTCTGAGAGGATTTGGATTTCTGTCAACAATGGAGTATCAAACAAGCCAACAAAAAGCAACCATCATTACTCCTTCGGTGCCCCACCACCTCGCGTGTTCTTCCTCATTGATTGCCATTCCCCTCTCCATCCAAGACCGGAGTTTCACCGGAAGTCACCTTCCATCCGATCGATTTCAGGCCCCAATATATCCTCATCCCTTTCACGCATCTCCCGACGACTTCCCGAAGACTAGTCAACTCTCTTCACCACTTCAATCGAGGTTTCAATTTTCACTACCTCGACCTTTTTTTTTTTTATCGCACGCATGTGTTTCTGCTTTCTGATAATCGGATTAGTTCATTAGTTCATGCTTTTATGTGTTTTTGTAAATATTGTTCATTGACATGTCACTGAAATTAATTCTCATAAAGCTTACATGATAATCTGATTCAGAGTAGAAGAGGATTTCAGAAAAAGTTAGGTCACAGTACATATAGATCAATACAAAGCATTTATACATATATATAATCCACTCCTTATGCTTCCGTTGTTTTAGGCTTCAATTGAGTGAAATTCATTGCAAAAGAGGTCGAAAGACAAATTTCTGCACAGGATCATTTAAACAATTTGTTATGATCCCTTTTTTTTGTGAATATTACCAAAACATGACAGACGATTTGTGTGTTTTTTTCAGCTTATTGTAAACATCTCAAACGCCGGAATATGCTTAAACCATGGGTTGATCCTAATGAGATGTTAAATGGAATAGGATTCCAAAAGTTTTTGTTCTTGAGTTCCTCGAGGAAGTCTAGGTTTATGAAGAAGATTCTATACTTGAGGCCACTGCATATTGAGATTTGAATTTTAAAGTGCTGAAATTGGGGGAGATGAATAAGATAGTGCACTTTATCATCTTTTTGATGTTGAGAATAGGTCTGAGGAAGCTACTCTTTATTGGAGCCATTATCACAGTAGTAACTTTTACTCTTCTTCAAATAAAAACGCTTCCTTATCAACTTACAACAATGAATTCATCTCTTCCAGACACAAATCACTTTGAAATCACCCCTTTAATCAGAGATAACCAATCTGAAGCCATTAATCCACCCCCTTTTACCCCTCTCCTCAATTCTTCTACCCAATTAGTCGAGTCAAATGCACTTGTGCAAGAGAAAGTCAAAGTCACCCCAAAAAAGATCCAAATAGATGTCATTAAGCCAAATATTTCAACAACACCAATTTTCTCCTCTGATCCTGTAAGAAGACAAAAGCGTTATCTGGTAAGATTCCCAAACTTTTAACGAACATTCAATTTGTCATCAATAAAAATAATAAAATAAACTGAAAAAATCTGCAGAGAGATATAAAGACATTATCACCATATGAAGCACTCATATATGCCAAAAAGGAGATTGACACTGTCTCATATGATATCAATCACAATGATCCAAATCTATACGCTCCTTTATTCAGAAATATATCCGTTTTCAAAAGGTAGACTTGATAATCTCTATACCTTGTGAAATATTCATGAACATGGATTAATGATTAATCAACTAATTGCTTCAAACAGGAGCTATGAGTTGATGGAAGTTATACTTAAAGTATATGTTTATCAAGAAGGAAAAAAACCTATTTTCCATAATCCTTATCTCAGAGGAATTTATTCCTCAGAAGGATGGTTTATGAAATTCATGGAATCAAGCAAACAATTTGTCACGCGGGACCCACAAAAGGCCCACCTATTCTACCTACCATATAGTGCACGTCAGCTTCAACATGCTATCTATGTTCCCAACTCACATAATATCAAACCACTCTCACTCTTTCTACGCGATTATATCAACAAACTTTCTTCAAAGTATCCGTTTTGGAATCGAACCCGTGGTTCGGACCACTTTCTAGTCGCTTGCCATGATTGGGTAAATTGATATTTGTATACTGTATACAGCTCTGGTCTGAGCACGCTTAACTGCAGAGTTCTGATGAGATTCTGATATTTTGGTGTCATATGTTTTTTAGGGTCCGTACACGTTAAAAGAGCATGAGGAACTAACAAAAAACACGATAAAAGTTTTATGTAATGCGGACACATCGGAAGGCGTATTTGTCGCCGGAAAAGACGTTTCCTTACCGGAAACCACCATCGGAAACCCGAGAAGACCGCTAAGAAACATGGGCGGCAAAAGCATCTCCCGCCGCCCGATCCTGGCTTTCTTTGCCGGAGGGCTACACGGTAGGGTCCGGCCGATCCTCCTAAAACATTGGGCTAATAAAGATGATAAAATGATAATATCTGGGCCTATGTCCTATAAACAATCTCAAACGATGTCGTATTCTCTTCACATGAAATCCAGCAAATATTGTATTTGTCCAATGGGATTTGAGGTTAATAGTCCGAGGATTGTGGAGGCTATTTATAATGAGTGTGTTCCTGTGATTATTGCTGACAATTTTGTTCCTCCGTTGAATGAGGTGTTGAATTGGAGGGCTTTTTCTGTGATTGTGGGTGAGAGTGATATTCCTAAATTGAAGGAGATTTTGTTAGGAATTTCTTTGAAGAGGTATCGGATTATGCAACATAATGTGAAAATGTTGCAAAGACATTTTTATTGGAATCGGACGCCTGTGAAATATGATATGTTTCATATGATACTACATTCGATATGGGTTAGTAGGCTAAATCAAATTCAAGTATAAGAGTCGTGACACGTGTATGAATGTATGAATGTGGAAATGTATGTATGAATGTATTTGTTGAATAGATTGGTTTTGCTAAGGGAACACTTTTTTTTTTTTGTGGTATAAATTACAATGAGAGAAACTTGTTTATAATATTATATATACTTTGAAGCTTGGTTTTCTATTTCATAGAATGTGTTTTTGTTTACTTAAATAAGGGTTAACAACATAAAAACACTAATCTTTTTAAAATTATGGTTTTACCCTAACATCACTTTTTGAAGTGTTAAAACCAGAATTTTGCAAAGTAGTTGTACATTTGTCCTTGTTATAATTTAACTGTCGTCAGGGGCGGAGCTTGAGCGATTGACTTACAAACTAAAATTAACGTTTTTATACATGAAAGAACCAAACGAAAAATCAACAATTAAACACCAAAAATACCTAAATTACTCACCAAAAATTCCTAAAGTTACTGTCTTACACATAAAAAGAAACCAATTTTTTTTCAACAATTAAATACCAAAAATACCTAAAAGAAGAATTACAACTCAGCTCGACGACCTTTAAGGTCTTTAAATTCATCAATTACCGACTTCGTATCAATGTTTTCAGCAATTTCTCTTTCTATGTAAACCACCAAGTTGTTTGCGAGAAAGTCATCTGACATCTTAGTGCGAATGCGGTTCTTGAATATTTTCATTGCTGAAAATACCCTCTCTGTTGTTGCGGTAGAAACTGGAAGTGTCAAGATTAACCGGACCACTCTATCAAGCAAATAATACGTCTCACGTTTCTGAGTTTCCACAAGACCTTTGCATAGGTCAGCAATAATTGATACACGACTTAGCCTGGGATTCTTTGTCATATCGATATTAAAAATATCCAACTGATATCGTAATTGAATTCTCTCTTGCTCTGTAAAATCTTCAGGATAATACTTCTCAACAAGAAGACAAATCTGATCAATGTTAATCACTTTAGGGTGTTCTTTTGAAACTAAAGTAGAACTAAGACTTAACAACTCTATCGCCTGATCATTGAATCTACTATTCAACTCATGTAACTGTTTGTCCAATGTGGATGTAAACAAATCTACTCGATAAAAATGTTCAAAAGTAAACTGATTATCGTTTTTTCGAGGTCGATATCTAGTAGAAGTATATGGGGCTTGCATACCCGGCACGTCTACTTGATGTTTCTCACAAAAAATATTTACCTGTTCAAGTAAAGAATCCCATCCATTGTTCCTGAAATCATTTAGACTCTCCTTTGTTGCTAAAACTAACCCCATGGCATTAAGAATATCTTGGGATTTCTTTTGTAGAGCTTGAGAAAGTATATCAGTTTTTCCCATTACTTCTTTCATCAAGTGAAGAATAAACACAAACTCAAATGATTTCAGGTAACAGTAAGCTGCATCAGCATCTCCGCGTTGAGAATAAGTAGCAGATACATCATCAATTATTCCCTGGAGAACAACACATGTACAATCAAACATGTTAAGCAAACTGCAAACAGAACGAAAATGAGAACCCCAACGTGTATCACCAGCTCTTCGTAATGTCCCAACTTGATTCAATTTCACCAAGTTCTAATAAATGTTAAATCTCAGTTGCCTTTGCCTTTTGTAACTCATCATGACGCTTACTGGAAGCACAAACTACATTAATTGTAAAATTAAGTTTGTAAAAAATTGGTGTATAGGAATAATTTCCCTTGAAGCAGCCACCAGTGTTAGTTGTAATCTGTGAGCGAAGCAGTGAACATAATACGCATAAGGACAATCCTTAAGAACAAGTGCCTGTAATCCATTCCATTCTCCTCTCATATTACTAGCACCATCATAACCTTGGCCACGGATTTTGCTAACATCAAATTGATAGTGCAAAAGTTGTCTCCACATATTTGTTTTCAAGGTTAATGATAAGGTATCCCTAACATGAACCAAATCTAAGAACCTTTCCCGTATGATCCCTTCTGCATCAACAAATCTCAAAACTATGGCCATTTGCTCTTTTTTAGACTCATCTCGTGACTCATCAACCATGACACAAAAGTACGAATCCCCGACTTCACTACGAATATGCTTCCGAACTTTATTTGCAATAATACTAAGAATTTCTTTTTGAATATCTCCAGAAGTATACTTTGAATTATAAGGAGCATTCTCTAATATAACATTTGCAACTTCATCATTATAAGATGCTAGAAGTTTTAGTAGTTGAAGAAAATTACCTCGATTTTTGGAATTAGGCGATTCATCATGTCCTCGTAAAGCACAAGCTTGGAATGTCAACCAACGAACTGTGTCAATTGAAGCTTTTAATCGTAACCGGTTCTTCAATATTTGTGCTTCATTTTGCTTCACTATAATATTTTCAATGTGTGTTGCTTGGTTCATCAAGTTTTCAGCAAATTTCCCATCATTAACTTTTTTCCAATTGTCAAATCCTTTAACAGTAAATGCATCATAACCATGGCACACACTTGGTTTATCATTAAATATATAACAAATAAAACAATAAGAAGCATGTGTTGTTGGAGAATACTCTAACCAATTAGGGAAAATGTTGAACCAAGAATATTGGAATCTACGAGGATGTTTCTTTGAACCTTTAGCATGATATTCTTGAAGACGTATTTGGAAAGGTCCTAAAGTCATATAAGCTCGTCTTACTTGTTCCCTTAAATTAACTGGATATTCCCACATTTGTTTTCGTTTAGCGAAGATCTCTTTCTAGATGCTTAAGATCCACTTCATTTTGGATTTGATTGTGTAGCTTCATCAATATCATTCTCTTGTTGATTTTCATGTTCTTGCGGTTGCGGCTCACTTGTTGAAGCTTTGTAACGTTTACTCTGTTGATTATCATTATGAGTTTCTTCATCATCATTCTTTCTTTTGAAAAAAGAATCAATGGTTTTCATTTTTCCCATGAAATTGTGAGATTTATATGACTGTATCTGTAAAAATCAAAAATGAAATCATAAGCTCATAAACCAACAACCCAAATTCTACAAAAAAAAAACTTATTTCTACAAATCTTATTTGATATTTTTGCAAAAATCTAAAATCGGTTAATTAACAATGCTCCAAAATTTTAAATCACTTAAATACAGTTGTAAATGTTTAACATAGATAACAGCTTGTGTGTAAGATTTAAGTTTTTTCTTGACAAAAAAGAAATTGTTGGACAATAATGCAGAAACATCTAGACACACGAATTGACTTTATATTTTAAGATTTTTTTTTATAGGGGTTAAATATCATTACTTTGCTCTATCCTTTTTATAATTGTTCATGTAGGAATTTCATAAATACTACAGATTTAAATAATGGTCAATTAATGATATTCATCTTCATCATTATTGTATTTAAATAATTAAATTAACAAATAATTGATCTTACTGAATATGTTACATTCTATAGTATTTTATGTAACCAAATATAACCTTATGTTTTTTGCAAACGTCAATAGGTTTCATCATATTCATACCAATTTACCAACACTCAAAAAGAGTATTATGTGATAGCAAATAATTTAGTTATAGTGTCACATAATGAATCTAGACATTTATAGTTTATTATCAAATACAGTGGCCCCAATTAATATATAATAATATAAGGTAGTTATTTTTTGTAGTGCTAAATTACTCTTTGTAATTGTAGGTTCATATCCCCTATTGTGAAAAAAAAAAAAAAAAACCTGATTAAGTAATTATGATTGTTTTTTTCCAGGCTTCACTTTACAATTCAATATTCACATTGATCAATTGATTCCAGGCTTCCAGTGACCAGCAAGACTTTAGAGTTCAGACTTAGACTTGGAGAATAAGGCAGGAGACAGAGTGGATTGATCACTGATCTTCTGATCAGCAACACATGCAACAGTGTGACAGCACGCAGGGATGCAGGCCACAACAACGATTAAGGAGTGTTTGGTTCAGATTTCAGACGAGGCACGAGGGTAGGGACGAATGATAATGACGATTTGATTTTTTGTTTGATTCGGACTATTGGAAAAGCACAGGAGGGGCCACAACCCAAAATTTTAATGTTTAGGCCTAATATGGATAAAAAAGATATGGACTATTTACACTTCTAATAAAAAAAATCAGGGGGGGCCACAACCCCTCCTGGCCTTTAATATACTTCGCCCCTGACTGTGGTTCTAATTCTTTTCACTCCTGACTTTCATTCTCTCTAAAATTAGAATGTATTTTACCTTGTTCTTGTGTCCTATAAAAGTAAACTCAGGAGTTAAGGAATTGAGGAGAAATCGAAAGAAACGAAAGTAAAATCTCGCTCTCCGGTTTGGAGGAAGTTTAGGGAGGAAGATATCTCCGGATCTTCCTTTTTTTTTTTTTTTTCTTTGGGGAACAAGATTTTACTTTTGTGTCCTTAGATTTATCCCCAATTCTTTTCACTTCCGTCTTTTATCAGGATTTGGGAACAAGATGTTAGGTTAAACTAGAATCTAGGTGACGACCCAAGGCAACATAATAGTCTTCTTCTTCTTCTTCTTCTTCTTCTTCTTCTTCTTCTTCTTCTTCTTCTTCTTCTTCTTCTTCTTCTTCTTCTTCTTCTTCTTCTTCTTCTTCTTCTTCTTCTTCTTCTTCTTCTTCTTCTTCTTCTTCTTCTTCTTCTTCTTCTTCTTCTTCTTCTTCTTCTTCTTCTTCTTCTTCTTCTTCTTCTTCTTCTTCTTCTTCTTCTTCTTCTTCTTCTTCTTCTTCTTCTTCTTCTTCTTCTTCTCTTCTTCTTCTTCTTTTCTTCTTCTTCTTCTTCTTCTTCTTCTTCTTCTTCTTCTTCTTCTTCTTCTTCTTCTTCTTCTTCTTCTTCTTCTTCTTCTTCTTCTTCTTCTTCTTCTTCTTCTTCTTCTTCTTCTTCTTCTTCTCTTCTTCTTCTTCTTCTTCTTCTTCTTCTTCTTCTTCTTCTTCTTCTCTTCTTCTTCTTCTTCTTCTTCTTCTTCTTCTTCTTCTTCTTCTTCTTCTTCTTCTTCTTCTTCTTCTTCTTCTTCTTCTTCTTCTTCTTCTTCTTCTTCTTCTTCTTCTTCTTCTTCTTCTTCTCTTCTTCTTCTTCTTCTTCTTCTTCTTCTTCTTCTTCTTCTTCTTCTTCTTCTTCTTCTTCTTCTTCTTCTTTCTTCTTCTTCTTCTTCTTCTTCTTCTTCTTCTTC